TCTGCACTCTGACTTTTTGCTGCTATAGTCCATGGGGTCTGATTTCAAGGTAGAAAACTTGGGGATGTAGTTGAGATACTGTTGTTGAAGGATATCTGATAGCTACTCTCTACTAGATAAACATCAATTTGTGAACTTATTCCCACCATTACCAAAATTAGACTGTTTAGTCACTGCAGAGAGATAGTGTGGTGTATAGCAGAGAGACTGATGCTGTTGGTCACAGACATATTGCTTTTAACTTTTTAAAACTTTTAAGTTATGTAATATTTTGAATATCCACAAAAGTCATAGTAAAAAATAACAGCTACAACTTGTATACAGAGCATTTTTCTGAGTGCTAATTTATGTTGCTGTTGCTAAGTGCTATAAAGTTGGTTCCAACTCTTAGCAACGCTGTATAGGGTTTCTAAGGAGTGGCTGGTGGGTTAGAACTGCTTACTTTGTGGCTAGCAGTCTAGTGCTTATCTTCCAGTTCCATATCAGGTATCACTTATATACTCATTTAATTAGCACAATAACCCTAGTATTTATGTTTTTAAACCTGAGGTGTAAAGAATTATTTCATTCTAGTTATAGTCTCTTTTAGCTCCCACCAAAGACTTTTTCCTGATTAATAGGTTGGGAAAGAAGGTGGGGGATGATGCTGATGGATTTTATGATTCACTTGTGAGTGATGGTTAGCAGGATTGTGATTGTAAACACTTGGAAATCTAATGAGGGGATTGGTCAGTGTTACCATCCTACTGGGTTTGAAATGAGCCATCTCAGCAGCAGAATGGGGAGGGGATCTGACGACCCATCAAAGAATAAGAGGCAGGAGTGGAGCACATCCTTTGGACCCTGAGATCTTTGTGCATTGAACCTCCTCGATGCAGGAACAGATGTGACTCTAGAGGAGTGGCAGAGGAGCTACAGCAGCAGGATCAAGAACCAAGGCATGAGAGAGAGTGGTGGCCTTCCCAGCCCACGGAGCAAGTAAAACTTAGTGACTTTGGGCAGAAGGCTTGCTTGTAGAGTGGGGTGCCTCCAGGCACTGAATTGGGAGAAGGAGGCTCGATCTGCTGCCCCATGGAACTAGTGCTGAGTGCCTTCAGACCGAGGCTGCTGTGGCAATTGTCAGCTCCCTTCAGACCACTCTGTAACAGTGGCTGGGTGGAAAGAGGCCTGTCTGTGGGCATGGCTGAGGAGGAGAGACTGTCCTGATTGGAATCGATATGCCTGAGCATTTCTGACCCCGCATTGTAACATATTAATGTGCCTAATAAACCCCTTACTGTGAGTAGGGTGTCTTGAGTTCTGTGAGGCCATTGCAATGAATCATTGAACCCAACCGAGTAGAGTGCTAAAGGAGAGATGGTTGGTGCCACAGTTCTTGAAAATCTCATTTTTCAGATGAAAAAAAGTGGAGATATAGATAGTTAAATGCATTTATCCAAAACTGGGTATTGAAACCCAAGCAGTCTAGGATCAAGTGCTAATCTTAACCAATACAACACAGTCTGTTGCATTTCAGCAATACATATAGTAATACAACAGATATGAATAATACCTAGCACCTAATCTTAATAGGTGTGACGCTGTGGGCTAATGTGTCAGACTGCAAAGTCAGTGGTTCAAGCTCACCAGCTGCTCCTTGGAAACCCTATACAGGGTCGCTATGGGTCGGAATCGTCTCAATGGCACTTAACAATAATAACAGTATGGCACTGTAGGGTAAGCATTACATTGTTAACCACAAGGTCGACAGTTCAAACCTACTAGTCACTCCTTGAAAACCCTATACAGGGTTGGTATGAATCAGAACCAACTAATTGGCACTTAACAACAACAACCTTACTAAATGTTAGCATTTTACCATACTTGTTTCAGTTATTTATACAGAAAAAAGACATGTGTTGACAAGCTACTTCTGACTTGTAAGTGGGGAGAGCATTGTATTAGACTGTGTCTATTGTCTTTCCTGGAGTCCTGGTGTGGTGCTGTGGGCTGGTGCGCTGGATTTGCAAAGTCGGTTTGATCCACAAGGTTGATGGTTCCAGCTCCCCAGTCTCTCCTTGGAGACCCTTGGTTGGAACCAACTCGCCGGCACTTAATAACAGAAACAATTGCCTTTTCTAGTTTTATCAAGTTGTTTTTCTATTAGCATCCCCCATACAAGCACTGGTCTTTTCTCTAGCCATTTGCATCTATCTGGTAAGAATTCAGTCAGTAGACCTTTATGGAGTCTACCAAGTGCTTGGAATTGTGTCAGATGGTAGAGATACAACCATAAAAAAGACCCTATTTTCGCCATTTTATCTAACAACATGGGGAGGTGGGTTTATTTAGGTGAAAGGTGAAGACTCTTGCGTGTGTGTGATGTGGTCTGTTACAAATGCAAACTTAAGCAATGGTGATTTTAGTCATGTCTGACCTGCTTATTGGAGTCTGTAGGCCTCTGTAGCTGTGGGTCAGTAACTCAGTTTGTTTACGTTCACTGTGTGGAACATGCCTCCAGAACTTGAGTTGGGGATAATCTCGAATCTTTGGTATTCAATATCTTGTTACCCTCTGGAAACCCCCAGTTAATAGGTTGCCTCTGAAATCTTCCATGTGGACCAGTGACCCCTGGAGTGCAGGGCCTCTGTGTCCACTTGGTCTGTATGCCCTGTCCTCAGCTCTGCTAATGTGTGGAACTCTCAGATAGATCTTGCCTTCCAGAAATTGCATGTACTGTCCCGTGGGTTTCAGGCTTGTACCTTGGCTCCTGTAGCATGTAAACCTCACTCTGTGCAGACTGCGTGTTGTTGTTGTTAGTGTTGTTGAATCAGTTTTGATGCACAGAGACACTGTACAGGGTTACTGAGAGCAGCTAGTGAATTTGAACCATTGACCTTATGGTCCCGTGCTTATCCTCCCACACCAGGGTTCTGTAGACTTTGTAGCTGACTGACTTTTTGGTCTCCTCAAACTTCATTCATTCACTATGTGTTAAAAAACAATGCAGTTAGAATATGGTAAAATACAATTTGGGGTCCCCAGGTGGTACAAGCAGTTAATACTTTTTGGTGCTAACATAAAGGATGGAAGTTCAAGTCCATGCAGAGGTGCCTTGGAAGAAAGGCATGGTGATCCACTTCCGAAAAATGAGCCACTGGAAACCCTGTGGAGTACACTTCTACTCTAATACACGTGGGGTCACCATGAGTCAATTGATTCTAGAACTAGAAAAAAAACAAAATGAAAAAAACCTGAAAGTCAAACAATTAAACAAAACACACCTACATTTAAAAATAATTAATTAATGCCTTAGACTTTGGAATATATTACCAGATCAAAATTTTTTAGTATTAAGCATCTTGAAATAATTTGTAAAATAGAATAAATTAATATAGTTATCAAACTACTAGTTAATGTTTTTTATTTATTATAAGCTTTATTGCAGAATGATGGCTCAGCTGCCCAGATTTTCAGCATGACTATTAATTATAGATGTTCTAATAGAAAAGGTGTAATCCTGGTGTGATACTGTAGGATAAGCACTGGACTGTTAACCACAAGGTTGGTGGTTCAAACCCACAAGCTGCTTATCAGAAACACTACACAGAGTCACTATGAATCAGAACTTACACAGGGCACTAACAACAGTAAGAAAGGGAGAGCCGATGACTCTTTTCAATTTATTTCCTGCTTATCAACCTTTCGTTTCTAGCAGATGGTTCTGAGTGGTTTTGGTTTTATTTTATTTTATTTTTTTTTAATTTGGGAGATTAGCAAATGTTTTTGGAGCAGATAATATTTTGGCATTTCTTTTAGTTAAGACTTTGGAATCTATTATACAGAGTCTCTTCACAGAAGATGGTCTCATTCTGAAATGAGATGATAAAGATATGCTCTTGTCAGCTGCTTCTCAAAAGATGGCAATAACTGTTTCTAGACATATGCCATGACATTTTGAGAAAATAGAATCATTTCTAACCCAAAGAAAGTTCAGAAAGTTTGGAAGTGAGCTTACTTCATGAGAGCCAGCACTCGAACTGGAGCCTGCAGACTTCGATCTGGGGTTCTTTTTGTAATGTGCTAGCTATTTGGTCTTCAGAAGCATCATTAATTTCTCAGTGCCTCAGTTTCCTCCTCTGAAAAATAGGGATATGTATCTGCTATTTTCATGACATTGTTTTTATAAAGATGAAGAGTGTGAAAGTACTTTTAAGTTTATTCAGGATACATAGTTAATATATATGGCATAATATATGGCGTATGTGTGCACAAGTTTTTCCAGTAGTAACAAGCATGATATACTAAATTTTTGTAATTGCTTTCTTATATGAATCTCAGTGATCACAACTTTTGTTGATTTCAAGAAAGTAGTCTGAGATTTGATATTTTAAAACTTAGGCATATTTGTAATAGAAAGTACACCTACTCATCGCTCATTGACTGTGTCATCTAACATTTTACCTTTTCGACAGTAGTTAAAAACATCTATCCAATTCTTTTGCACATTACAGTGTATGTGTGGCAGTGACAAATGCCAAGGCATGTTCTTGTTGTTAAGTACCGTGGAGTCGGTTCCGACTCATAGTGACCCTGTACAGGGTTTCCAAGGCTGTAAATCTTTATGTGAGCAGAAAGCCTCATCTTTCTCCCATGGAACAGCTGGTAGTTCTGAACTGCTGACCGTGCTGTTTGCAGCCTGATTCGTAACCACTACGCTAGCTCCTTTGCCAAGGTATGAGGCTCTAACAGTTGAGGTTGTGTGTCAACCTGGCTGTGCCAGGATTCTAGGTGTCTTGGCAGTACGTGATGTTATAATTTGGTAGTTATGTATTGATGTAATCACCCACCATTTTGTGATCAGATATGGCCTTCCTCCATTATTGCAAAATGCTGATTTTCACATAGCAAGCATAGTCTTTGGAACTTAACTGTGTCGATAAATGAGGAATGGGTGTATTAGTGGACAATTGAGAAGAATACTCTTATCTAAACCTGTGTTAATGACTTTCTGCTTTTAGGTATACCAAACTTGGCTACGCAGGAAACACTGAACCACAGTTCATTATGCCTTCATGTAAGTAAAGCTTTACCTCTGGTTTATAATGAATTCTTTCTTAAGATTGTTCTAAGCATTTTATTTTATTTTTCAAGGTTTATCAATTTATCTGCACCTTATTTTAGAAAATTGTTCTTGAAAGGGTTATTTATTTTGACATGTAGTTGTTGAATAATACTGTAGAAATGGGATATTAAAAACATATTTATAGTTCTATATCCTTCTGATACACGATCTTTGTCATCTTGGGTGGTTGGCAATTGTTTTTTTTTTTTTTTTTTTTAATATTTGTGTGTGTGGTAATTATATATAAGCAACAAACATTTGCCATTTCATCAGTCTTCCTGTGTAGTCAGTGACATTAATTATGCTCATCATTGTTTCCGCCACCAACCTTAACCATTGTTTCCAAGGATCTTTCATCCAATCATAAATATCTTAGGTTGGCAGTTCAAGCTCACCAGCTGCTCCTCGGGAACCCTATATAGAGTTGCTATGGGTCAGAACCGACTCGATGACACCTAACAACAACAACTACCACCACCTAGAAAAAGTGTTTCAGGTTCTTTAAGTTTAATTCATAATTTTAAGTAAGTACAATTCTTATAATCCTCTTGGAGTCCTGGTGTGGCACTGTAGGATAAGTGCAAGACCGCAAAGTTGGTTTGAGCTACAAGGTAGGTGGTTCGTACTCACCAGCCGCTCCTTGGAACCCTATACTGGGTCGCCACGAGTTGAAACTGCCTCAGTGGCACTTAGCAACAACAACATAATTCTTTTAGTTTACCTACTCGACGGCACTTAACAACAACAACAACAACTTTGGTGGGGTGCATAATCTTTATACTGTACATAGTCTTTATACTGTTCACAGTACTGAAAGATTTTTTTCTTTTTTTTTCAGTAGTCTGATGGGTTTTACTGTATTGTTTAATTTTTAGTCAGTAAAGATTGATTAGGCTTAAAACAAGAAATACCCTCACATTTTGACAAGAGTTCGTGCTACCCTACTCTGTTTCTACAGAAGTCAACGAAATATGAGTGGGAAGAATTATATGAAGTTATCTAAATTCTGGGTTGTTAGTTGCAGAGTTTGACAAAGAGTAAGGTATATCAATCAAGAGTAAAGTGAAACTCTGCTACCATAAATGAAACTTTTATAGGATGAGCTTTGAGCTAGAAATTGCAAGTTGTTCTTGGTAAATGATACTGTTAATGCCAAGATCTGGTGAACAGTACCGAATAGAGACAGTATACAGAAGTCAGAGGGAAAAATATATATTTTTTAAACTTTATTGTGAATTGGATGAAGATTTACTGAGAAAATCAGTTTTCGTTCAATTAATTCTTACACATTTTGTTGCGTGTCATTGATTGCAATCCCCATAGTGTACCGTCACCGATCCCACTTCCTTCCTGTGTGTTTCTGTTTTCATTCCTCCTTCTTTCCTAGCCCTTATGAACTTGGACCTTGGGTAATTGCTGCCCTTTTGTTCTCTAGTGGTTGACTACTCAAAGGTGTGTAAATCTCTCTAGTGTTATTGTTCCCCTAATAAACTTGTCTATTGTTTTGCTGAAAATTGAACCAGCAAAACGAACCAGGTAAGTTTATTTCCAGACCTAACGGGTGATTAACAGCCACAGTCTCCAGGGGCTTACCAGTTTCTATCTGACCAGTAAGTCTGGTCTTTTTTATGATTTTGAATTTTGTTTCACCTTTTTCTCCTACTCTATTCAGGACCTTCTAATATCCCTTTCAGAGCAGTTGTTAGTGGTTACTGGGCACCAACCATCTAGTTCTTCTGATCTCAAGTTTGTAGAGACTAATGTCCTCGGGTTTCATTAGCTCATTGCATTAGTTGTTTCCACACATCTTTGATTTCTTCATTTTTCTTCAATTTTCTTCTCAAGGAAAGAGCTGTAGTTGCACCTAAATGGTTGCTCATAAGCTTTTAAAACCTCAGTCACTGCTCACTAAAATAGGATGTAGAAGATTGTCTTTGTGGGCTACGTTATGTCAATTGACATTGATGTTCCCAAGACCATGGACGACCTAAGTCCCCAGGCCCAGTGACTTGTTCAAATGAAAAAACCATGATTAATATTTCATCAAGGGAATACTACGGTCAAGTCCTTTGTAAGTATGGATATTCGTATCTATTGTAAATGTATTCAATTCCTTGAGCACATTTAATTCACCTCCTTCCAGTTCTGTGTTTGATAGATAACTGATCATAAATTTGATTCTTTTCTAGATGTGGACCCTTTCTAGATATACCAGGAATGGTGTATCCTAGATAATAGGAAACATGGGTCTGCTATATCCTTATTTAAAATTATAAGCTGGCCTTCTGTAGTTTGCATCTTTTGTGGATTTTATTGTGAGTAAGGAGTCCCAGTGGCGCAGTGTGTTAAGTGTTGGGCTGCCACTTTACACTCTGTGGGAGAAAGATGGGCAGTTTGCCTCCATAAAGATTGGCAGCCTTGGAAACCCTGTGGAGTTGTGCTACTCTGCCCTGTAGGGTGCTGTGAGCCAGAATCTGCTGGATGGCAGTGAGTTTGGTTTTAGTTAAGTGCAACATTTCTAGAAGGCTGACCTTGCACCTTTTGCTTTAAAGCACTGCCATTTAAAACTGTCAGCGGTGTTCACTTCGCTGCCTCACTTAACCTGTCATCGTTAATAGAGGGAATTGGAGTCAGTTATTAGCAAGGTTTCATTCACTGTCAGAAGTCAAGAGAACTCTCAGATTGGTGCTGTCAGAATCTTAGCAGTGGCAGAAGCTAGAAAGATAATAAAAATTCCAAAAGGTAGGAGTGAAAGAACAGCGATATCGTTGGCTAAATTTGTTGCGAGAGAAAGAGAAGCACCAGGAGGCAAGTTTACAAGATGATTGGGTAGAATCCAGGGTGTTAAAAGTTCTGCAAGCTGAACCATTTTTCTGATTAAAGGGGCCCACTCACAAGGGGAAACTCAGTTATGTAAAAGAGGACTTTAAGAAGAGAAATGGCAAAGCTGTGTGTGTGTGTGTGTACAAAGTCCTGGAACAAGATTTCTGATCCTGATGGGGACAGCATTAGCCAAAAGAGTACGGGTAAAGACCCTTGGTTTATGCGAAGAAATATAAGTCCATGTTGATACGAAAAACAGCAGTTCCAAACAGAGGGTGTGGCAAGGAGATATGGTTGAAGATGGGAGAAGAGACTTCTGATGCAAGATTTTAAGTTGTCAGCTTAAGGAATTTCATCTTATTTTATTTAACAGGAATTTCCAAACTGTTTCTGAGGGGTTTGAAGAATTTTGCCGGCTGGATTAGCGAGGTTCTGGGTCTGATCCCTGCTCTACAAGAGCAGCCATCCCTTGATCTGTTTGTTTGTTTGAGTTCTGTGTCGAATTGGCATAGTTGTTTGAAGAAAGTTTTTCCCTGACTGTTTTGTTTGGTTTAGTTTTAAGTTGTTGGAGTTATTGGGAGTCTGAAAAGTTCAAGCAGAGGATCATATGGTGATCATTTGCATAAAGAGGATTTAGGTAGATCAAGGAGAAAGTAGGGGAGCAAGGCATAGTAAGACTTACAGCATTTCAAGATTTTAGGTGTAAAGATCCAATGTTGTTTTGTTGTTAAGTGCTGTTGAGTCAGTTCTGACTCATGGTGACCCTGTATAGGGTTTCCAAGGAGTGGTTAATGAATTTGAACCACTGACCTTGCAGTCTAGTGTCTTATCCCACAGTGCCATACTAGGACTCCAATAGATAGTGGAATAAAAAGTTCAGTGCTTAAGGGAAAGTTCTACACTGGGAATAGAAATTGAACCCTAAGATAAGTTTGTTTTTACTAAATTTATTGTTGCTGTTAAGTGTCCTTGAGTTGGTTCCGACTCATAGCAACCCTGTATAGGGTTTCCAAGGAGCGACTGGCAAGTTTGAACCATCTACCTTTTAACCTTTTAGTTAGCAGTCCTGTGTTTATCCTACAGCACACTATAGAGTTTAAATATTTTGGAAAACAATATAAAAGACAATGAAACAGACATAATGTACCTTACATACACCCTAGAATGAACAAATGTTAGTATGTTGTCATAGTTGTGTCAGAGTAACTAAAAAGCTAGCTAAGTAACTGTTATGCATTGAATTGTGTCCCCAGATATGTGCTGTAAATCCTAACCTTTGTGCTACTGATCATAATCCCATTTGGGAATGAGTTGTTTAGCTATGTTAATGAGGTAGGATGAGTGTAGGCTAGAGTTTAAATTAATCTCTTTTGAGATTCAAGGGAGATTAAACAAGCAAACAGAAGAGCAGAGATAGGGAATGATTGATGCCAAGCCACATGGAGAACTCCAAAGGAACCAGGAAACAAACTGAAGAGACAAGGACCTTCCTCAAGACCCAACAGAGAGAGAAAGCTTTTCTCTAGTCAGCATTCTAAACTGTGAGGAAATAAATTTGGTTTGTTATAGCTGCCCACTGGTGGTTTTTCTGTTAGAGCAGCACTATAGACATATAATATGCTAACTAACTACATTACAGATGATTACTTTTTGTTAAGTGCTGTCGAGCCGGTTCTGACCCATAGTGACTCTGTATAGGGTTCTGAGGAGTGGCTGGCAAGCTTGAACTACCAACTTTGCAGATCAAACCGACTTTGTAGTCTAGCGCATTAACCCACAACACCACTAGGCTCCTCTTGTCTGCTCTCCGTTTCCTTCCTACCTTTCTCTTGCTCTTTTTCTCTACTGGTGAATATTTTTTGGTAGATATTCAGCTCATGTTTTTATCCTGTATGTCAACGTGCATTAATATAATATACAGTAATGTTTCATGAGTTTAAAAATCTATGAGATGATATACTGTAAATAACTTTCTGTTGCCCTTTCTAAAGTTACTCAATATTATATTTTTAAAATTTATCTGCATATAAAATATATACAGATCTAGATCAGAATTCTAACACATGAATATACAATGACTGTTGTTTTTTTTTTCACTTGGTCATTTTCTAGTTTTCTCTGTCACACAG